AATTCGATGAAAGGGATTTTTAGTTATGCTGGAATGAATTAGGTAAATTACTTCATATAAATATATTGACGTGTAAAATATACTGTTTTAGGTTTAGTGAGCTATTAATAATATCTGATACAGAGAAAGCACTTACTATATCTGACATATACATAGTACTCAATAAATGTTAGGTTTTACTAGCACTTATTATTTACATCACAGGTGAACAAAGTGATATATGCTAATGTATATTACATTAATAAAGCTTAGTCTTTTGGAATCAATTGTACTCAAATAGTTTGCTTTTGGTAGACCTCCTGTTCAAATTCTGGCTCCACCACTTGCTAAATTTCTTTATTGGTAAATTGTGGACAATAGCATGTACTTCCTAGAGTAACTGTAAAATCTAAGTGAGTTAATACACATAACAGGATCAGAACAGTGTTTGCCACAAGTTAAATACTCTATGTTAGCTGTTGATATCATTGCCTAACTTTCTGAAATAGACTTACTAGTATGTTCTGTGTGTGCCTTGCCCTGTTGATTTTCTTTTAATTTTTAGAAGATGAAAATCTTTTTATATTTTCACTAGTGTAAATTTGTAAAGCTGCTAACACTCCCCTCTCCTGGAAAAAAAAAGTGACAGATCTTCCCCAAATTTTTGTCTTTTCTAGACCCTTCTTTATAAGCTCAGCCATCTTTTTAGAGCAGGCAAAACTCTACAAGGTATGATTTGCAGGAAGAATAGTTTATTACTGCTCATTTTCCACACTAAAAAATATAGTTTACTTATTGGCCAAGTGCATAGTATATGCTTACTTAGGTAGCTAAATGTTTGTTTTAATCTTAGAAGATAAAATAATTCGAAGTGTTAATACTTAAAGTACTACTCATTATTTGTAAGACTGAATACCTATATTATGAATTATAGAAAATTAATGGTTTTTTAAAATTTTTGTTTTTAGTTGGTAGATAAACTTAATACCAATACTGAAATGGAAGAAGTAATGAATGATTACAACATGGTAAGAAAATTTATAGATGTAAATAATGGATCCATATAAACCATGTGCTCCAAAGCAAAGCATTTATATCTAGAAATAGTTTGATAAAACTTTAGTGACCTTTGAGATGTGTATTACTCTGATCCTAAATGCCACTGTTATATGTTTAACTCCCTTAATTGTTCTTTTCAAATTTCTTCCTGTTCATTGGATATTTAGTGTCTATCTGCAAGGCTGTGTTTGAACTGGCCTTGCACTCAGCATTAAGAGAATGCCATCTACATGTTCTTGTCTATATTAGTTTACAGTATTTCTGGTTTAACTTTTGCATATATGGAGCTGAGTCCTCAATGGAGATAAATGGTACCTTTACATAGTTTTTGTAACAAAGGGAGAAAAATAAATACATATGATGCCAGACATATATTAACTTTTGATTTGTAAATGAGAATTCATATTCAGTGTTCTTAGAATAATTATTTGGTAGAAAACAATAAAATATGTTAATAGCTAGCTTATTTTGATTATAAACATTTTGATGAAAATAACTTACAACTCATAACTTATAGCTTATAATTAATTTACCTGATCAAAGACTATTTATCTATGAAAACATAGAATTTATAAAATGACTTCTAAATTT